TTTAATGATTCAATTGGAAAGGATAAGATACATCTTTCAATTAATAACAATGTATACATGTATGACTTGGATGTATTAATTTAAAACCATGTGACATACCGGATGCTTCAAAATTAAATTTAATTATTGAGAAAGAAAAAAGCATATAAATCCGCAAATTAAATTCCGGCAGAATTTAAAAAAATTAATTAAAAATAAATTATAAAATCAGCCGAAAATCAGCCCCGTGCCTTCGATGTTAAGTAGCATAATAATTTTAATAATTCATAATAATTAATTAATAGTTACGTAACAATTTTAATAATTCAATTAGAAAAGATGAGATACCTCTATTTCAATTAATGATAATATATATATATATATATATATATATGTACAATAGACATGTTAATTAAAAACTATGTAACACACTGAGTGCTTCAAAATCTTGGAATTAATTAAATTTCGGCGAAATTAATGAAATTAATTAAAAATAAGTTATAAAATCAGTGCCTTCGACGTTAAGTAGTTGCGCAACCAATTTTAATAATTCAATTGAAGAAGATAAGATCCACTTACTTCAATCAACAATAACTGTACATACGTATAATAGATATATTAATTAAAAATTATGTAACACACTAAATGCCTCAATATCCGAAAATCAATGAGATTAATTAAAAATAAATTATAAAATCAGTCGATTTCCCGTGCTTTCAAAATTAAATAGTAAAATTAAATAGTTGCGTAACAATTTCAATAATTCAATTAAAAACGACAAGATATATATCTGTTCCAATTAATAATAATAATAATATAAATAATAAAATAATACAATAATAATAATAATATATGCACATAATACATGTATTTCGACTAAATTTCGGCAAAATTAATGAAATCGATTAAAAATAATGATGAATTAAAGGTTCCCCGAGCAGCGTAGAGCCGATCGATATTTTTCCCTAAAGGATAACCACAACAACACACACGCTCGCGAACCAGAATACCGAGAACGCGGCGTTTCCGATTGAGGAAATCCATCGAGCGCGAAGGGCCCGGGACGGGAGATCACGATCGAAGATAAACGCTGAATTCCAGCGGCACGAAATAGCGTACGGACGCGTTCTATCCCCCGTAATCGTGTCTTCATTTCTGGCAGCTGAAAACCGTCGTCATCGGCGCGCGCGGCACGGCCCACAATACGTACACCACCAGCGGACATTCACACGCACACGCTCGCCCCGCGCTCGCGCGCCCGCACGCGTGCGTGTGAGAGGGAGTGAGATTAAAGGGCGCCGACGCTACGTGTGCGAGGGACTTCCACACTAATAATACCTACAAGAGCGGAGAGCGGCGAGCGTACCGCCTTCACGGCGACTCGTGGACGCGCTCTCGTCTGCGTATGTGTCTCGGGACCACCGAATGTCCCCTCGAGCGCATAACCGCGGGACGAGAGAGAGAGAGAGAGAGAGAGAGAGAGAGAGAGAGAGAGAGAGAGAGAGAGAGAGAGAGAGAGAGAGACCAAACAGATTCTCGCGAGCATGGTGCCGGGGCGGCTTCATTTGCGTCGGCAAACATTTCAGCGTTTCACGTATCGACTCATTAATAGTCAACGTCCTGTCCCAAGGCTCCCCGTAAATCTCCTTCTCGATGAGAGGGTTGCATCGTTGCAGCTCCTTTCGAGTGGTCGTCGCACGCATCCGCAAACGCGGCATGGTGAGAAAAGTTCCAAGTCGAGGGGAGCGGAGTTTCTGGAATCTTTGCCGAGCCAAATTCGCCTCGAAAGAAGCAGGAGTAATTCCGTTTCCTTCAACCTGGAGGAGGAATGTGTTTGGTCGGTTTGTCGCATTAATTCGACCCCGATATCCTTCCCCGCCGTGTGCGGTTTCGCTTTTACCGGAACACAGCCCGGCGCGGCGAGTCGCGATCGCGCCGATTGAAATTGATTTATTCTCGTGGAGAGCGCGGCTCTCGATCGCCGGATCAACCTTGGCCTTGTGCCGCGTGCGTGTGCGTGTGCGTGTGCGTGGAGCCCCGGAGCTTCGCAGAATACGCGGATCCGTTATCGTCGTCGCGTTACGCACACGCACACGCGCACGCACACGCGCCACGCAGAGTTCGTTTACTCCAATTTGTTTACGTTCGTCAGGGTCGACTCGTAGCCGTCGCGCTGCGCGCAGATACCGGCCTCGTCATCCCCCTCCACGGTCCCGGTGATAAAGAACATTGAAACACCGGCCCATTATCGCTCCGCTCTCGCCAGACCAGCTAGACCAGCGAGGGAAACACCTAATTGAACAAATTGCTCCGCTTTAAGCGCGTGCGCGCGCGCGCGCGATAACAACGCAAAAATCGCACGGCCGCGCGCGCCTTCTTCGGCGAAAAACATGCATCGCGCACGTCGCATCCATTCGACATCCCGACGCGCGCGAACGAAACTAATTCATCACATTCCATTATCATCTCGCGCATAAATCGTCGCGTGGAGAAGAGAGAGAGCTAGCCTCTCTCTCTTCTCCACGCAGAAGGAGGAGGAGGAGGAGGAAGAAAAAGCAAGAGGAAAAAGAGACGTGTGCATGCATCTCCACACGCACGCACGCACGCACGCACGCACACACGCACGCACGCACGCACGCACGCACGCACGCTCTCGCCTTGTGGAGGCCGGGGCCACTGACTCACTGACTCATTCGGCATAAACGCGGAGCACGAAGAAGAGCCTCCGCCGCGGAGCGGCGCGGCGCGGCGGGCCGAGGAGAAAAGTGGAGCATCGACCTCGAATTCGGTTGGTCTTTTTGTCCTTCGGCGGCTGCTACTCGCCCCCTGAATATATCGCGCGATTGTGCAACAGCGGACCATACCTCGGGGACGACCCCGAGGAGAGTACTGAGGGTGTCGCGAGCCGGTCCCCCGCGGTCGCGGCTCGCGCGAGGAGACTTCCCTCCGGAGCCTGCCTTTTCCCCTCGCCTTTGCGACTTCCGCGTTTCTGTCCTCGTCGCGTTTACGCGGCGTGATTTCAGCCTGAGAATCGGGACGCATTTTTCAGCCTTCGCCCCCCGTGCGGAGAGATGCGCTCACGCTCTCGCTCTCCCTCTCCCTCTCGCCGCGGTGTCCGACGAAGAAAAGTCCGGCGCACGATCGCTTCCTCGATCTTGAGCGACGGGACGACGAGCCGCGGTTATACGAGCTCGGACCCGCGATGTGGAAATCGCTCGGCGAGCGACCACCCAGCGCGACTATCGCGAGCAAAAAGTTCGCGAGGCCTGCCGCCGCCGCCGCCGCTCGCCTCGGTGCCTTCGCTCTGTCTCTTATTATACTAGGGGGTAGGTAGGTATGCGCGAGTTTCTCCGGACTATCGGTCGCTCGGGGGAGGGAGACACGAAGTTGAAACGCGATTGAAAATAGCATGAACCACGCGGGACTCAACACGTCGCGGCGTCTTTTTACGCGCAGTTTCACGCAGCCACGAGATAAAAGAGGTGAGACGACGCGGTTCTGCAGACAGAGAGAGAGAGAGTGGCGATCGATGCACGAGGAGGGGGAGGAGGAAATATGTTGCGCTACTCGCGCGGATTGTTCCGTGTTCAAAGTGGGCGTTTGCTCTCTCTCTCTCTCTCTCTCTCTCTCTCTCTCTCTCTCTCTCTCTCTCGCGGTATCTGCCTCTCGACGAGGCGAGAGATGCCTACCATCCGGTTCGCGCGGCACGCACGGATTTTCGTCCGGGGGAAGGAATCTCGCGGGACCGATCTGGCGGGGCCTCGCGCGACAGATCCTAGGAGATCCTTCTCCACTTATAGAAACGTGCGCGTCCGGTGCGTTTCAATCCCGCCAGGAAGTCGATCTACGTTCGTTCGATCATGCCCGGGGTCCTACCTTTCGGGTCTAACGAAAAAACACGCGTCGGGACCACCCGGCTATGTGAAAAGTTCGTAGTTAGGTCCCGGAGAGCAGCTGTGGAGCGCTACGGAAGCTCGAGGGACGAGCGTAATAAATAGCGGCGGTTCGCTTCCACGTGACAAGTTTCGTCCCGAGCGGCTCGCTCGTTTCCACGCGATTATCACCTTTCGAGCTTTTCGCAACAGCCCGGCTCGCAGGTGGACGTTCTCAAAGGCGCGCGCGCGCCGCAACACACGCTGCTTCTCGCCGCCCGGAGATTCCCGGTGGGAAATAACGGCGCCGTTATCGTCGACGGACGATATAATCCGTCCGCTTTGTCCGACGCGCTTATCTTGGTGTCCGGAGAGCCCATAACTCAAAGTGGCTCAAAGAGCACGCCGTTGTTTAGCGCAACAAGTGTGTTTTCTGGCGACAAAAAGCCGCCAATGGAGAGAAATCGTTCAATCGCGCGCGTCGCTTAATTAGCGTCTTATTAGCCCCGCCGTATCATCAGGAGACGATTATACGTGTATACGTGATGCGTATACACCCGACACGGCAGTTGGCTCCCGAAAGAGGTATTAATTAATTGATAAGCACATTAATAGGCATCAGATTAGACAATTGGAAGATCACATGCAGGATCGCGGACTGAGGAATTTTCGATTAACCGGGACCAAGGATGCAAGCTACTCTTGCTCCTGATGTCCGATCTAGAAGCATCGAGGTCTCTAGAGTAAGGTCTGGTCTACAATACGTGTCGTAAGTTGTAAGCCGTAAGAATTGGCGAATTACAATCGATTGTTACGAAAACAATCGGCTATAATTGGTCAGTTCTTACGGTCAGGCTTACAGGTTTACAACACGTATTGTAGACCAGGCCTTAGTCCTCCAAAATTCCATATCCCGACTGATCAGCGCGCACACACACACACACACACACACACAGAGATCTTCGACGGACTAATCGATCCTAACCTTTAATCGGGACAGTCGAAAAGCCCTGAGCAGAAAGCCGTCCCCGAAATTAGTCGAATCCTAACCTCTAGGCTCTTAATCCCCGACGGCTCGAACGGGGCGCGCTGCGGGGGACACGAAAGGGCGGTTAAAGAGCCGCCCGTACTACCACTGGCAACACTCACCTTCTCGAGTTGATCCAACGCTATCGCGGCATCCGTCCAGCTGGGTCTGACGTAGAGGTCCGACTCGTGCCGGCTCTTGGCGGCGCTCTTCGCCGCTTGCGCGTCCTTCTCGCACTCCGCGGCGCAATTCTGCCGCGGGCCCTGCGATCCTGAAGGGCGTCCCGCTAGGATCCCCGTGGATATGGGACCGGACGCGGAAACCATGATCCGTCATGCATTCGCCCGCGCGCGCGGTTACTACTTAGCGAAATGGCTGCTGGCTCTCGCTCTCGCTCTCGCTCTCGGGCACCTTCCCCGATCGGTCAATTCGTCATCGAGCGAGTACCTCGATCCGATTCCGCCGGAGACGTCCGCGGTAGGCCCGCACTCACTGGCCGACGAAACCGTAGCACTTTCCTCCTCTCGAGCAAGCACTTCTTCACCAACTACTCACTGTCCGCGTCCGCGTCTCGGCCGCGTACGTAACACGTGAGCCCGCTCGTCTCGCTTGAAATTCGCGCACGAGAGCGAGCCGCGACGCGCATGCGCGCGCGTCCTACCGATATCACGCTGCGTCCAGAGAGATCGGTTTTTAGGTTACCCGCGACGTAAATACGTCCGCCGGCGACGGCTCCTACCTTTTCTCTCTTTCTCTCTCTCTCTCTCTCTCTGTCTCTCTCTCTCTCTCTCTCCCTCGCCAGTGCACAGCCTTCGCTGACAGGGGCGAACGTGCGCGCGCGAGATTACGGCGGCGACGTCGAGCGACGTGATTTTTTTCCCGCGTGAATCGCGCGACGATCAATCACGTGCGACGCCCTGAGCAGTCCGTGTCGTACCGGAATGCCGACCTCGGCCCGTTGTGTTCACCGTTGCACGCTCGGCTTGTCACTACTGTCACCACTGGTCCTCGTCGTCGTCGTCGTCGTCGTCGTCGTCGTCGTCGTTCTCGTCCTCGTCCTCGTCGCCGTCGTCGTCGTTGTTGTTGTTGTCGCGGTCGTGTTCGTGGTCGCCGTCGTCGCTCGGCTGTGCGAGCCGCGTACGTTCCCCGCCGGCCGTGTTTCGCACAAGCCTGCGATCCAACGTCCCGATAGTGCGTGCTCGTGCTCGAGATGATGCGACGACGGACGCGAGCGTGCACACGACCACCACTTAGAGCAGTCTAAGTCGGTACTAAGCGAAACCCGCTGCCACATTTCTCCCGTAGCCTGCCTGCCGCGCCGGCCATAGTTGACGGCTTTCCCTCTCTCCGCGGGCCTCCGCGCACTCCGGATCGACTGCGCAAACATTCAGGCGCGTACGCGTCTGGGCCCGTGGCGAGATCTAACCTCAACGCGCGGCGCGAGTGCGCACGCGCCGCCGGTGTCGCCGTTGCTCGCCTCTCCCGTAGATTGGATCGCCAGTGCGATTCGAATCGGCCAGATGCGAAATTCAAGTCGCTCCTCGCGTTTCACGACCAATGCGCGAATCCCCGGCGCGGAGCGTCCCCGATCGATCGAGATCGATCGCGGGGCCCCGATTTTCGCGCGTCCGACTCGCCCTCGATCGATGCGCCACTGCGCCGGACGGGTGACGTGAGCCGAGCGCGGCCGAGGAGAGCCGAAGTGTCGGGAGCTCGGAGAGGATTGGCGGAGGCGCCTTGGCGTTCCGCGTTGCTAGGATACCCGGGGACTAGCGAGGGGAGCCGACTCTAGACCACACACGCGTTCCTATTTCCCCCGGAGCAAAAACATTACCCACACCGAGACGAGCGCGCGACACACACGACGCGCGCAGCTGCGCTACCCGCGCGAATCGCCGCGGCGCGCAGTGGTGCCTAGGCGAGCGAAGCTTCGCTTTTTCGCTCTTTTACAGTTAAACCGCGATACCGAGCGGCCGATGTCAATTCGATGTCTGTTCGTTTTAGCCGCACTGCGGAACTAGTGCGATAAGTTAGAATGAGACAACTATATCTTTCCTCACTTTAACTTATTGCACCGGTTCGGGGTAATAGTGCAGCTAAAAGGAACAGACCGATGAACAAAATATACGTCGGAGCGACACTCGGCGGATATATTTCAATTTCAAATTTCCATCGCAGCGGCGAGCAGCAGGCTCGCGATCGCCAAAGAAGTTTGGAGGAATTTTTACCCGGCGAGAAAAATGTTTTTCCGATTGTTCCGGAAGGAATTTTTATCTGAGAGAAAAAGTTGATTTTCTAGTTATTCCGGAAGGCACTTTTATCTGGGGAAAATAAAAAATGGATTTTCTCATTTTAACTCCGGAAGGGGATGAGATCTCTCTGCGAGCACCGGAGGACATTTCGCGGAGGTGAAACCTCGTCGCCGCCGCTAACTGTGTACGGAGCACGTTCGGTTCGAAGAGATAAAGCGCAGTCCGACCAGTCGATAGATCGCGTTAGATAGTACGCGGAATACAACGGTATGTACGATAATATTTATCTCGAGAGCTCGTGACTGACTTCTCTGTGCGTACGCTCTTTTTACGCGCCGCGACCACTCGAATCCGTACGGATGGGCTTTCAGAGGCGCGCGTGGGAGAGAAGGGGGCGACTGTTCTCTCTCATGCCGTTCGTTAAGTCGCGCGCCACCGCGCGGCATCGAGCGTCGCGGAGCCCGCGCGCGATTAACGTATTAAACTGTCGTCGTGTAATATCCGCGTAACGACGCGACTTCATTAGCCCCTGCCTTGCCCTTCTCTCGTGCAGGCGATTTTTGCCCGCGCGCCAGCCTCGTTGTTGAGCAAGTCTTGGCAAGAAGAAGAGGTGAAGAGAAAAAAATTGAACCCACCACACGCGATCGGCGAGTGGGAGGAGAAGAGGCGGAAAAAGATGAAGATGAAGAATCGATCTTCTTTGCGTATTGTCCTTCTTGACGAATGCACCCTGCGATGCGCTCGCCATCGATCGGCGATAAGAGAGAGAGAGAGAGAGAGACAGAGAGAGAGAGAGAGAGAGAGAGAGAGAGAGAGAGAGGGGGAAACCGTTAATAATTTTTACGACACTCTTAACTCGCCACCCGGTATTAAGCGGTCCTCCGTAGGAGTCGAGCTTTGATCTTCGCCGACGCCGTATCGGCTTAATGAGTGCGAGAGCGAGATAGCGCGGTGAGTCAGCTAAGGCGCTCCTCGCCCGCCTGTGGAACCACCTTGTCGTCGGCGCACGGATGCACGTTGCGTTGCATACGTGCAGGCGCACGACATCGAGGCAGCGAGAACGCGTCGCCGAGGCGTCGCGCGACGAGCGCCTTAGCGTGCGCCGAAAGGAAAAATCAACTGTACTCGACATTCGATCACGATATCGAGACGGAGGACTGTTGTGTGACACGGTCACGAGGACGAGACGGCTGTAATCGCTCGGCCGACTATTAATTGCTCCGAAGTATCGCTCATGGCGCACACGCGTGTTCACGGTTGCTTACTTGTTTATTGCGCGGCGATTGCAAACCCGTTTTGTTAACTCGTCCTTGTTACTGTTACTATTCCTCTGCGTCCGTGCGCGCGCGCGCGCGCGTGCGCACGCTCGAAAGGAAGAAAAAGAGACAGAAACGAAGGAGAGAAAAGAGGAGGGAAAGAGTCGGAGGAGAGGAGGATATCCGACTTACTAATTGCAGCGACGTCGGTGGTCCGGAGGCACACCGCGGGCCATAATGAAAAGCAATATGGTCAGGATACATGGTACGGATCCTGACTCGGACTCATCTCTCGGTGACTGTCCCGAATTAAAATCGTAAATCCGTAGCTCCGAAGGATTTGTGGCGGCGCGCCGCGGCCTTTCGGTTCTCCCTTTCGCCTCATTCTCCCCTCTCTCTCTCTCTGTCTCTCTCTCTCTCTCTCTCTCTCTCTCTCTCTCTCGAAATCTATCGGCCAGATTGCCAATCGGGACGTTCGAGGGGGGGGGGATTTTCGCGGGGATTTACGTGACCGCGCTAGGATCGCGCGCGCGCGCGGCGATCGAGGGCGGCGCGCCGCGGATGAAGACGTTTCTATGGGAAACGGATTGAGACTTCAGGATCTTCACTTTGTGGCAGAGATAGAGTCGCGATTCGATTCGGGGCCAGCTAAGCGTCTGTAAAGGACCTGACGTACGCTGCAAACGCGGTTAAACAGCGGTCTACGAATTCAGCGGAGTGAATCGGGTCATGGGGCGCTCTCTATTGTGCGTACCGCACGCACTCCTGAAATCCGAAAAGTCAGTAAATTTCCCGACGCCGCGCCGGGTCGCGCCGGAAGGTCGGGACGGGAGACGCGTCGACTCTACGTGCGCTCTGTTTGCGTAGGACGGAGACCACCCAGGTCGGGCCGACGCCTCAGTCCGTGGTGGAATCGACTTGACGGAATCCTTCGCATCGCCGAGCGGACCTCGCCACTACGGCGACGTACGTAGAGCAGGGGCGGGCCCGCCGAGCGAAATCCAATAAGTCGTTGGGGCATTTTTATCTATTGCGGCACGATCATTGCTGCGGTAATTGGAGGAAATTTCGCCGGGATTTCTTCGCCCGAGTATGGCAAACCAGGTGCCAACGGCCGGACACGTCCCGGTCCATCCGACCACTTTGAAAGAAAGTATTTATTTATTTTAACTTATTTTATTATATTATTATAACTTTTACACTATTTATTTTAACAATAACGAATGAAAGTAATAATTATTGCAGGAAAACTACAATATTGACGATTGGTTGGGACAAAATATATACCCAACTTGATACTTTTGTGTTAAAATAAAAATTAATTAAACAAGTATGCGCCCATGGTTTGGCAAAATAGTGGTCAATCACGTTAATAAATTCATTGAGAGATAGCATCTATATTTATATTATTTCTCGTTAGCACACACTAATTTTCTAATACATCCGAGCATTGGGCCGTAACCTATTTCAACTGTGTCTCCGGTCACTGCTACAATAATGCGCGCTTCATTTACTTGTGTAAATATTTCATTAATAATAGACGGTTTAAGAATAATTTTCCTCTACTTGAGGGAATCTCAAGTTTTCGAGTAAATGCAAATATTTATATCAAAACTATTCTGAATATTATATATTGTATGTTTTGTGACGACCTACGCTTGAACGTTCGCTTGCCGGAACATTTACCTTACAGCCGAGGAGTTTGACCCGCTTGGAGAAGCGGATAAGCAACAACAGGCAGAACACGATGAGAGATTGGAATGGATTGAAAATTTCGAGTAGCTTAAAATTTAGGTCGATCATTTCAACGGAAGGGGGAAGATGTACGATTTTACAGACGCTGAAATTCGGGCGAATATCTGAAGGATTATTCGGCTGATTTGACGTGTGTGCGTCGTGCATCATGCCGAGAATGCGATGAGAACGATTTTAGAAAAAGAAAAGAAAAACTAGTGAGTCTCGATGCGGTTAATGTCGAGGGTCGTTGAAGCTCCCGCTGCGACTCTATAATAATAAAAGAACTGTTTCGTTATTATTATAGCCGGACGAACGTTCGCAAGTGCTTGACACCTTCGTCGCGAACTCCCGAACGAATTTCAACGTTAGCCGAGCAATCAATTCCGCGTCGTGTTACACGCGTCGTACAGCTTTCCGGAGGACTTTCCGCACGACAGCTTCTTACAATTTCTCAGCCCACGCAGGCGAATCCTACGTCCCTGACGAGGCGATGTAACTTTTAACCTGGTGCCGCTCGTTATTTTTCATCTCATTGTGCCCGATGACACAAAGATGGGATGGCTGCCTGCGACGATACATGGATCCCCGGTGACGGATACACCGAGGTCTCCATTCTGCGCGGCGAGGAACCCTCCGGAGAAGGGAAATTAACCTGTTGAACGTGCGAAACGGCCGCATTCGCTGTCTATTTGGTCCGATCGTGGAAGCCACCCGTCGCGGAGGGCTGCGCGATCCGTCCCCGTTCTCTAGTCTCGTTCTCGCAACGCGAGGGAGCGCGCGCATCGCATGATAAATTACAATAGCAATTGGCTCGTCGGATTCGACGAGCTGCGTTGCCTCATTGTGGCGAAACAGTAGGTTGGTAATTTTCAAAGGAATCGCTTCTCTCCGCCTTTTCTTCGGGCCCGGGATGTCTACAATGTGCATGCAAATCGCTATGCAAATTCTCCGAAAAATAAGTCGGAGTCGTTACTTTCGACCGCGGCCGGCCGCCTCGTTTCGGCCCGAGAACCGAGCGAGCACAGCGAATTAGACTCGACACGTTCGATCGGCGGATCGGCTCGCGAAAATGGACATTTCGAGCGGCGGCGGCGGCGCGTTTCTGCGTTGGCGACGCGCGGCGGTTAAGCGACCTCGCGGGGGTGTGTGCGTGCGTATATCACGGCGCGTACGCGTAACTTACGCGGTCCTATGCTTAATATCAAAACAGTGTTAGTGACCGACCACCCGCGGTGAAAGCGACGGACCACCCAA